AGAGAGTGGGTGGGTCGGTGAGTGAGTGGGAGTGAGGTGGTGGGTGGGTGAGTGAGTGTGTGAGTGGGTGAGTGAGTGGGTGAGTGAGTGAGTGAGGGGGGTGAGTGAGTGAGTGGTGAGTGAGTGGGTGAGTGAGCGGTGAGTGAGTGAGTGGGTGAGTGAGTGGGTGAGTGAGTGGGTGAGTGAGTGAGTGGGTGAGTGAGTGGGTGAGTGGGTGAGTGAGTGAGTGGGTGACTGAGTGAGTGAGTGGGTGGGTCGGTGAGTGAGTGGGTGAGTGAGTGAGTGAGTGGGTGAGTGAGTGAGTGGGTGAGTGAGTGGGTGAGTGAGTGGGTGAGTGAGTGAGTGGGTGAGTGAGTGAGTGGGTGAGTGCGTGGATGGGTGAGTGAGTGGGTGAGTGAGTGGGTGAGTGATGGGGTGAGTGAGTGGGTGAGTGAGTGAGTGAGTGGGTGATTGAGTGAGTGGGTGAGTGAGTGAGTGGGTGGGGGAGTGGGTTGGTGAGTTAGTGGGTGAGTGGGTGAGTGAGTGAGTGAGTGGGTGAGTGAGTGAGTGAGTGGGTGATTGAGTGAGTGGGTGAGTGAGTGATTGGGTGAGTGAGTGAGTGAGTGCGTGAGTGAGTGAGTGAGTGGGTGATTGAGTGAGTGGGTGAGTGGTGGGTGAGTGAGTGAGTGGGTGAGTGAGTGGGTGAGTGAGTGGATGAGTGGGTGAGTGAGTGAGTGGGTGAGTGAGTGGGTGAGTGAGTGAGTAAGTGTGTGAGTGGGTGAGTGAGTGGGTGTGTGAGTGAGTGGGTGGGTGAGTGAGTGAGTGGGTGAGTTAGTGGGTGAGTGAGTGAGTGAGAGAGTGGGTGAGTGAGTGAGTGGGTGAGTGAGTGGGTGAGTGAGTGGGTGAGTGATGGCGTGAGTGAGTGGGTGGGTTGGTGAGTGGGTGGGTGAGTTAGTGGGTGAGTGAGTGAGTGAGTGGGTGAGTGAGTGAGTGGGTGAGTGAGCGGGTGAGTGAGTGAGTGAGTAGGTGAGTGAGTGATTGGGTGAGTGAGTGGGTGAGTGGGTGAGTGAGTGAGTGAGTCAGTGGGTGAGTGGGTGGGTGATTGAGTGAGTGGGTGAGTGAGTGGGTTGGTGGGTGAGTTGATGGGTGAGTGAGTGGGTGAGTGATGGGGTGAGTGAGTGGCTGGGTGGGTGAGTGGGTGGGTGGGTGAGTGAGTGAGTGGGTGAGTGAGTGAGTGGGTGGGTGAGTGGGTGGGTGGGTGAGTGAGTGAGTGGGTGAGTGAGTGGGTGAGTGAGTGAGTGAGTGGGTGAGTGAGTGAGTGAGTGGGTGAGTGAGTGAGTGAGTGGGTGAGTGCGTGGATGGGTGAGTGAGTGGGTGAGTGAGTGGGTGAGTGATGGGGTGAGTGAGTGGGTGAGTGAGTGAGTGAGTGGGTGAGTGAGTGAGTGAGTGGGTGGGGAGTGGGTGGGTGAGTGAGTGGGTGAGTGAGTGAGTGGGTGAGTGAGTCAGTGAGTGGGTGAGTGAGTGAGTGAGTTGGTGATTGAGTGAGTGGGTGAGTGAGTGAGTGGGTGAGTGAGTGAGTGAGTGGGTGAGTGAGTGAGTGAGTGGGTGAGTGACTGGGTGAGTGGGTGGGTGAGTGAGTGAGTGGGTGAGTTAGTGGGTGAGTGAGTGAGTCAGTGAGTGAGTGAGTGGGTTAGTGAGTGAGTGGGTGAATGAGTGAGTGAGTGGGTGAGTGAGTGAGTGAGTGGGTGAGTGAGTGAGTGAGTGGGTGATTGAGTGAGTGAGTGGGTGAGTGAGTGAGTGGGTGATTGAGTGAGTGAGTGAGTAAGTGAGTGAGTGGGTGAGTGAGTGAGTGGGTGAGTGAGTGAGTGAGTGGGTGAGTGAGTGAGTGATTGGGTGAGTGAGTGAGTGAGTGAGTGAGTGGGGGAGTGGGTGAGTGAGTGGGTGCGTGAGTGAGTGGGTGGGTGGGTGAGTGGGTGAGTGAGTGAGTGAGTGGGTGAGTGAGTGAGTGAGTGGGTGGGTGAGTGAGTGAGTGGGTGAGTGGGTGAGTGAGGGAGTGGGTGAGTGGGTGGGTGAGTGGGTGGGTGAGTTAGTGGGTGAGTGAGTGAGTGAGTGGGTGAGTGAGTGAGTGGGTGAGTGAGTGAGTGAGTGGGTGAGTGAGCGGTGTGAGTGAGTGGGTGTGAGTGAGTGAGTGGGTGAGTGGGTGGGTGAGTGAGTGAGTGAGTGAGTGGGGGTGAGTGAGTGAGTGGGTGAGTGAGTGGGTGAGTAGGTGAGTGAGTGAGTGGGTGAGTGAGTGAGTGAGTGGGTGGGTGGGTGGGTGAGTGAGTGAGTGAGTGGGTGAGTGAGTGAGTGAGTGGGTGAGTGAGTGAGTGGGTGGGTGAGTGGGTGGGTGGGTGAGTGAGTGAGTGGGTGAGTGAGTGGGTGAGTGAGTGAGTGAGTGGGTGAGTGAGTGAGTGAGTGGGTGAGTGAGTGAGTGAGTGGGTGAGTGCGTGGATGGGTGAGTGAGTGGGTGAGTGAGTGGGTGAGTGATGGGGTGAGTGAGTGGGTGAGTGAGTGAGTGGGTGATTGAGTGAGTGGGTGAGTGAGTGAGTGAGTGGGTGGGGGAGTGGGTGGGTGAGTTAGTGGGTGAGTGAGTGAGTGGGTGAGTGAGTCAGTGAGTGGGTGAGTGAGTGAGTGAGTTGGTGATTGAGTGAGTGGGTGAGTGAGTGAGTGGGTGAGTGAGTGAGTGAGTGGGTGAGTGAGTGAGTGAGTGGGTGAGTGACTGGGTGAGTGGGTGGGTGAGTGAGTGAGGGGGAGTTAGTGGGTGAGTGAGTGAGTGAGTGGGTGAGTGAGTGAGTGGGTGAGTGAGTGGGTGAGTGAGTGGGTGAGTGATGGCGTGAGTGAGTGGGTGGGTTGGTGATTGGGTGGGTGAGTTAGTGGGTGAGTGAGTGAGTGGGTGAGTGAGTGAGCGGGTGAGTGAGCGGGTGGAGTGAGTGAGTGAGTAGGTGAGTGAGTGAGTGGGTGAGTGAGTGGGTGGGTGAGTGAGTGAGTGAGTGGGTGAGTGGGTGGGTGATTGAGTGAGTGGGTGAGTAAGTGGGTTGGTGGGTGAGTTGATGGGTGAGTGAGTGGGTGAGTTATGGGGTGAGTGAGTGGGTGGGTGGGTGGGGGAGTGGGTGGGTGAGTGAGTGAGTGGGTGAGTGAGTGAGTTGGTGGGTGAGTTGATGGGTGAGTGGGTGGATGAGTGGGTGAGTGAGTGGGTGAGTGAGTGAGTGAGTGGGTGGGTGGGTGAGTGAGTGAGTGGGGTGAGTGAGTGGGTTGGTGGGTGAGTTGATGGGTGAGTGGGTGAGTGATGGGGTGAGTGAGTGGGTGGGTGGGTGGGTGTGTGAGTTAGTGGGTGAGTGAGTGAGTGGGTGAGTGAGTGAGTGGGTGAGTGAGTGAGTTATTGGGTGAGTGAGTGGGTGGGTGGGTCAGTGAGTGAGTGAGTGGGTGGGTGAGTGAGTGAGTGGGTGAGTGAATGAGTGAGTGGGTGGGTGGGTGAGTGAGTGAGTGAGTGGGTGAGTGAGTGAGTGTGTTGTTGGGTGAGTTGATGGGTGAGTGAGTGGGTGAGTGAGTGAGTGGGTGGGTGGGTGGGTTCGCGAGTCAGTGAGTGAGTGAGTGGGTGAGTAGGTGGGTGGGTGGGGGAGTGAGTAGGTGAGTGAGTGAGTGAGTTGGTTGGTGGGTGAGTGGGTGAGTGAGTGAGTGGGTGGGTGAGTGAGTGGGTGGGTGAGTTAGTGGGTGAGTGAGTGAGTGAGTGGATGAGTGAGTAGGTGGGTGGGTGGGGGAGTGAGTGAGTGGGTGGGTGAGTTAGTGGGTGAGTGAGTGAGTGAGTGGATGAGTGAGTAGGTGGGTGGGTGGGTGAGTGAGTGGGTGGGTGAGTTAGTGGGTGAGTGAGTGAGTGAGTGGATAAGTGAGTAGGTGGGTGGGTGGGGGAGTGAGTGGGTGGGTGAGTTAGTGGGTGACTGAGTGAGTGAGTGGATGAGTGAGTAGGTGGGTGGGTGGGTGAGTGAGTGGGTGGGTGAGTTAGTGGGTGAGTGAGTGAGTGAGTGGATGAGTGAGTAGGTGGGTGGGTGGGGGAGTGAGTAGGTGAGTGGCTTGGTGAGTGGGTGAATGAATGAATGGGTGAGTGGTTGGGTGAGTGAATGGGTGAGTGGGGGAGTGGGTGAGTGAGTGAATGGGTGAGTGGGTGAGTGAGTGGATGGGTGGGTGAGTGATTTACGATTTTTCTGAGTACCTGGTGTAGCGGTGGTGGTGGTGGTGGTAGTGGTGGTGGTGGTGGAGAGACAAAGGCGGCCGGGCCTGGTGCTGGTGGCCACCCCCTCTGTGTGTGTAGCCACAGTGCCGGTAGCCTTCAGAGACGCTGCTGCTACCCGCTACAAACAGCACTTGCCCCTACAACCCAGCCAGAGGCTACCTGGGGGAGCTTTGCCTGTGTAAGTAACAGCACTTGCCCCTACAACCCAGCCAGAGGCTACCTGGGGGAGCTTTGTCTGTGTAAGTAACAGCACTTGCCCCTACAGCCACGCCAGAGGCTACTTGGGGAAGCTTTGTCTGTGTAAGTAACAGCACTTGCCCTACAACCCAGCCAGAGGCTACCTGGGGGAGCTTTGTCTGTGTAAGTAACAGCACTTGCCCCTACAACCCAGCCAGAGGCTACCTGGGGGAGCTTGTCTGTGTAAGTAACAGCACTTGCCCCTACAGACCACGCCAGAGGCTACCTGGGGGAGCTTTGTCTGTGTAAGTAACAGCACTTGCCCCTACAGCCACGCCAGAGGCTACCTGGGGGAGCTTTGTCTGTGTAAGTAACAGCACTTGCCCCTACAGCCACGCCAGAGGCTACCTGGGGGAGCTTTGCCTGTGTAAGTAACAGCACTTGCCCCTACAGCCAGGCCAGAGGCTACCTGGGGGAACTTTGTCTGTGTGACAGCACTTGCCCCTACAGCCCAGCCAGAGGCTACCTGGGCTCACCTCTGCCTCTAACTCTACCCCCCCTCCACCCCCAGCAGAGCGATCCCGATCCAAATGGATCCTAGCAGCCGCGTCTTGATGAGCCGGATCCAAGGCGATCCGCTCCGGGTTTTGTGCGGCGTCGACCACCGCCTCCACCACCACCACCGCCTTCACCTCCTCAGGCAACCGTGGGGGGTCGTCACGGCAACCCGGAGCGGCACGCGCCGATCGGGATCCGGACCAAGCTTTGAAACGGGATCCACGCCGGGTTTTGGATCGGGAGCCTCGGCGCCTCCGCCCGCTGGGCCGTTCGCGAATCCCGGGGCGGATCGCCGCCACGCGGGAGGATCGGATCGCGTTAGCGCGACGCCGAGGGCTGAATCCGCTTCGGGTTTTGGCTTCGGCACGGGGATCCACTCGCTGCTTGCCGAGGCGGTGAACTCGGCTCGGATCAGATCCGGGTCTGCTTCTGGTTTTGGCTACGGGATTGGATCGGGATTCGGATTTGAATCCGTCTCCGGGCTAGGATCTGGTTCTGGTTTTCCTGCCGGGATTGGACCTGGATCCGGATTGGGATCTGGATTTGAATCTGGATTGGAATTTGGATCGGGATTGGGATCTGGATCGGGATTTGGATCGGGATTGGGATCTGGATCCGATTGGTCATCCGCTCCGGGTTTTGGCTCCAGGGCGGAGCCGGTGCTGGCAGTGATCGACGCTGAGGAGAGGCGCAGTGAATCAGAGGAGAAACTCGAATCGTGAGCAGTTACACAGAGACACACACACACAGAGATAGATACACATACATACACACACAGATACACACAGATACACATACATACACACACACAGACACACACACACAGTACACACATACACACAGAGATAGATACACACACATACACACACACAGACACACACACACAGTACACACATACACACAGAGATAGATACACACACATACACACACACAGACACACACATACAGACAGAGACACATACACACATACACACACACATACATAGATACACATACATACACACATACATACACTACACGTACATACACACATACAGATACACACAGAGACACACACACACAGATACATAGATAGACACAGAGAGACACACACACAGAGACACACACATACATACACACACAGTACACACACAGACACACAGACACACACACACAGTACACACATACACACAGAGACACACACACAGACACACACAGATACACACATACACACACACAGTACACACATCACACACACACAGACACACACACACACAGTACACACATACACATAGACTACCACAGAGAAACACAACACACACACAGTACACACACACAGATACACACAGAGACACACACACAGATACATACACATACATACACACATACAGATACACACATACAGATACACACATACAGATACACACATACAGATACACACACACACACATAGATACACACACAGACACACACACAGAGACACAGAGAAACACACACACAGATACATACATAGATGCACACACACACACATAGATACACACACAGACACACACACACAGACACTAACACAGAGACACACACACACACAGAGACACACACACAGAGACACACACAGATACACATACATACACAGATACACACACACATACACACACAGATACACACACACACATAGATACACACACAGAGACACACACAGATACACACATACACACACACAGAGACACACACAGAGACACACACACAGACACACACAGTACACACACTACATACATACAAAGACAAGATAAAGATCCCCCGTATAGCCTTAACAGACTGTAGGGCAAGTGCTGTTAGCGAGCACCTATGAAGGCATACATACACAGACACACACATACATACACACACACAGACACACACACAGAGACACAGATAGATACACACACACAGAGACACACATAGATACACATACACACACATACATAGATACACACAGAGTCACACAGAGATAGATACATACACACATACAGATACACACACACAGTACACACACATACACACAGAGACACACACATACATACACACACATACACACACATACACACACACAGAGACACACATACACACACATACACACACACACAGAGACACACAGACACACACACATACATACACACAGACACACACACATAGATACAGAGACGCACACACACAGAGACATACACAGAGACACACACACAGAGACACACAGACACACACACAGACACACAGACACACACAGACACCACACAGATACACACACACAGATACATACACCACACAGATACACACACACAGACACACACACACAGACACACAACATACACACATACACATACATACACACACAGAGACACACAGAGACACACACACAGACACACACACATACACACATACACACACATACACACACACACAGAGACACACACACACAGAGACACACACACATACACACACACACAGAGACACACACAGATACATACATACACACACATACACACACATACATATATACACACAGACACACACACACAGATATACACACACATACACACACACATATACACACATACATAGATACACACACACAGACACACACAACAACAACAACCGCCATTCGCCACTAAGTGGCGGTGACGTCACCACGACGCTTGTGCCAGGCTATGTGCACCTTGAGGCCACGTGAAGTGTCGAACGCCCGCTGGCAGGAGGTCAGGGGCAGACCCAGGTGCCACGGGTCGACTGACTGAGATGACTGAGATGAGTGGCTGATGCACCACCTGTGCCCCTACTGTGCCAATCTGTTGTGCTTTAGCCACCCGGCGCTCTGCTCGTTGTTGTGAGCGTCGCTCCTCCGCCCTCCGTTGTTGTTAGAGGGCGACTGCCTCCAACTGCCCAGTAGCGTCCTTCACGAGCCTCCTCCACAGAGGCCGATCTTGACACCGCTGGTACCAGTCATCGGCAAATCCACTCAGCTCCACGTCCTCCTGTACCACGTCACTCCATCTCTTCTGCTAGCCCGTGCCGCGCCCGCTTAGCCCCCTCAATCCGGCCAAACAAAAGCTGTTTCGGCATGCGGTTGGCTGGGCATGCGGGCTACATGACCCAGCCATCAGCAGCCTTGCCCGCCGGAGGAGCTCACCGATGGGACCTTGCCCAGATCTTTCAAGGATTTGTGAGCTCCTCACACAATCCAGTCCTGGTTAAACCCCAGGATGGATCGTAGGCAGGCCAGCCTAAATGTTTCTAACCGGCGAAGATGTTCCATTAGGGGGGTCCACGTTTCGCAAGCGTAGAGAAGGGAGGGAATGACCGTGGCCGAGAAGACCTGAAGCTTAGTGCGGAGCGACAGACCAGGTAGCTTCCACACAGCGTTACGCAAACCGATGAAAAGATATTGCCGCTCGACTGATTCGGAGTGAGACCTCTGCTGTTAATCTGGAGCCAGTCATAAGCACACTGCCCAGGTATGGGAAAACTCTCCACTCTCTCCACAACTGCCCCATCACCGATTGGGAGTTGTGGGGGTGGAGTGTCCGATGGTACAAAATACCCAGGCAGGTGCTTAGTTTTGGTGGGGCTGATGGTAAGGCCCCACCTCTTAGTGGCACGCTCCAGTCCTCAGCAGCAGCGTCTCCAACTCCTCCTCTGAGCTGAGCAGCTATTACCAAATCATCAGCATACATAACGTGGTTGAGCAATAGGGAGCCATCCCTTGACCGCACCCGGGCATCGATCAGCCTCCCATTATATCTGTGCCATATGGCGATTCCCCCGGTACAGCTATTGAAGGCTTCACGAACTATGTGGTCAAAATAGATGATAAATAATGTGAGAGCCAGAGGACATCCCTGTCGCACCCCAAGGTGTACAGGGAATGGCTCTGACTCCCGGCCACGTAGTTTTACCCGGCCCGCTCACCATCATGAAGGTCCTTAATGATCGTGAGCAGAGGGTCAGGTACTCCAAAAGCACGAAGAACGACCCAGAGCCCAGGCCTACTGATGGTATCATAGGCCTTGACCAGGTCAATAAAGCAGAGATGTAGGTCTTGCTGGAATTCCCTACACCTCTGCTGTATCAGACAGACAGAAAATACGGCATCTGTGCAGGACCGCCCTTTCCTGAAACCGCATTGGGGCTCCGCAAGCCTCTCCTCAGCGTGCCTGGCAAGGCAAAACAACCCCCTACCTCCTCGCGGTGCCGGACGGGCAACTCTGTCGTGGACAATGCTGTGGGGGGAGGTCCAATTGTGATTGGCTCCTCCCCTCATGGCGTCTGTGTCCACCACAGGGGCTAAACGGTGGCTCTGGACGGGTGCGAGGGGCTGGTAACCCCTCCACCTTCAATCAATTACCACTAAACCACGAGTTAAGTATATAACAGACACACACACACATACACACATACATACACACACAGACACACAGATACACACACACAGATACACATACACATACATACACACACAGATACACAGACACACACACAGAGACACACACACACAGACACACATGCACACACAGACACACACACAGACACACAGACACACACACACAGACACATACACATACACACATACATACACACAGACACCACTCACACAGACGCACACACACATACATACACACACAGACACACACACACACAGACACACACACATACACACATATATACACACACAGACACACAGACACACACACAGACACACACACATACACACGTACATACACACACAGACACGCAGATACACACACACACAGACACACACAGACACACAGATACACACATACAGACACACACACATAAACACATACATACACACACAGACACACAGATACACACACAGACACACACACATACACAAATACATACTCACACAGACACACAGATACACACACACAGACACACACAGACACACAGATACACACACAGACACACACACACATACACACATACATACTCACACAGACACACTATTACTAATACGACTACTGATACTACTACTACTAATAAATCTACTGCTGATACTACTACTGATACTACTACTGATACTACTGCTGATACTTCTACTGGTACTACTACTACTGATTCTACTACTACTGATAGTTCTACTACTGATACTGCTACTACTGATACTACTACTGATACTACTACTGATAATACTACTGATAATACTACTACTAATACGACTACTGATACTACGACTACTGATACTACTGCTGATACTACTACTACTGATACTACTACTAATAGTTCTACTACTGATACTATTACTGATACTACTGATACTACTACTGATCCTGCTAATACGAGTACTGATACTACTACTTCTGATACTACTACTACTGATACTACGACTACTGATACTACTGCTGATACTTCTACTGGTACTACTACTACTGATACTACTACTACTAATAGTTATACTACTGATACTACTACTGATACTACTAATATGACTACTGATACTACGACTACTGATACTACTGCTGATACTACTACTGATACTACAACTAATAGTTCTACTACTGATACTACTACTGATACTACTACTGATACTACTAATATGACTACTGATACTACGACTACTGATACTACTGCTGATACTACTACTAATAGTTCTACTACTGATACTACTACTGATACTACTAATATGACTACTGATACTACGACTACTGATACTACTGCTGATACTACTACTGATACTACTACTAATAG